GCCGGCAGTCAGCACAGAGCCCGATGCGGGGCTCGAACCCACGAACCGCGAGATCATGACCTAAGCGAAAGTCGGATGCTTAACCGACTAAGCCACCCAGGCGCCCCTCATTTAAGGATAATTTCACTTGATATGGAATTCTAGGATAAAAATTTCTTTCTTTCAACACTTTATTTTTTAGAGAGAGAGAAAGTGTAAGTGGGGGAGCAGGGAGAGGGTCAGAGGAAGAGAAAAAGAATCTCAAGCAGGCTCCACACTCCGCGCAGAACCCGATGTGGGGCTCAGTCCCACAACCCTGGGGTCATGACCTGAGCTAAAATGAAGATTCAACTGCTCAACCAACTGAGTCACCAGGCACTCCTTTCAAAGCTTTAAAGATGAGTTTTCTTATGAGAAGTGGAGAGTAATTCTTACCATTGTGGCTCTGGTAATGGTATACATACCATGTAATGCATGTTTTCTTTTTGAGATTTTCTTTTTATCACTGTTTTTTAGCAATTTGAGAATAAGCGACTTGGTGTGATATTCTTTCTGTTTATTCTGATTGGAGTCTGTTGAGCTTCTGGGAACTGTGAATTTATAATTTTCATTAAACTTGGAAAATTTCAACCATTGTTTCAATTTTTTTTCTGTTCCAAAACATCTACCTAAGTTCTTTCATTTGTTTTGTTTTAATGTTTTATTTATTTCCGAGAGAGAGAGAGGCAGCGTGAGCAGAGGAGGGTCAGAGAGAGAGGGCTCCAGGCTCTGAGCTAGCTGTCAGCATAGAGCCGGACGCGGTGCTTGAACCCACGAACCGTGAAATCATGACCTGAGCCGAAGTCAGACGTTCAGCTGACTGAGCCACCCAGGCGCCCCTAAGTTCTTTCATTTGTAGCATTCCTTCAAATAAAATAATTTGGTATTCTTCACTACCCCCAAAATTTGTTTTTCTCTCTTCCTTCCCACCCCTCACCTTCTCTCTCTTCTGGCCATGTGATACTGTCTCACAGTTTACTTTTTCCTTGTTCATTTCTTTTTAGTGTTTTTTTTCCACTTGTTCTTCAGTTTTTATAGTTTCAGTTGCTGTGTCTTCAAGAACATACCAGTACACATACACTTTTTCTTCCTCAGTATGTAATCTTGTGTCAATCTTGTCCAGTGAAGTTTAAATTTTAGATATTGTACTTTTAAGCTCCAGAAATTCTATTTGATTTTTTTTATATTTTGCACTTCTCTCATTATGTTCATTTCCCTTAAGTCCTTGGGCATATTTGTAAGAGCCCTTTCAAAGTCCTTGTCTACTATTTTCTTATCATCATATGTCTTTTTTTATTGACTATTTTTCTCCTGGTCACATTTGCCTGCTTTTGTGCATGTCTAGGAATTTTTATTGAATGCTTGGTACTACAAATTTACATTGCTGAATGCTAGATTTTGTTGTCTTCTTTTAAAATGTGTTGGACTTCACTCCAGGAGGCAGTCAGGTTTTTTGTGAATCAGCCTGATCCTTTCAAGGCTCCTTTTTAAGATGTGGTATAGCCTGTCTTGAATAGCCTCTTTCTAGGGCTAGTTTTAGCCCTACTGCTGAAGCATCCCCTTCCGGAGTCAGTGCTCCAGGTGTTCAACAAGTTCAATAGGAATTCCCCACATTCCCCACATTAGCTGGCCCAAACTCAAACAACTCCCAGCCTTCTGTTAACCTTGGGAATTATTCAATTTATAGGTACCCAGTAATTCTTTGCCTGGCTACACAGAGTGTTGCCCTATTCAACTGCAGCTTAATATTCAACAATTGACTCAAGAATCCTCTAGGCAGAATTCTGGAGCTTTTTCTCTGCATAATTCCTCCTCTCTATGATAAAACTAATAACACGTTACTAACCATTCACTAAAATCTGAGTGATGAGTTTAGAAATGTTCCCTGTAAAATTTCAGCTTTGCTGTATGTTTGAAATTTTAATGTGCTGTTTGAAAATAATCAGATTACATACAACAAACGCAATTCCACCATTTTAAAAGGTATTTGAGATTATACATCCCCATGAAATGGGTTCTAAGTCAGAAATGGCCGGGAAATGCTGACCATCCCTGTAGCTAGGACAACATATTGAAAGAGCTTCTAGGTTCAAGTGGCACTTTGCCCCACTTTTGCAAACATATCCTTCAGATTCTCAGAAGCTCCACCGCCATATTTTCGCCTATGAAGCTTTCTGCAATCTTACTGGCTATACTGAATATCAATTACTTCTGAAGCATAAGGTACTCATTTTTGCCATGGTTCAGTTACTATCCATATGTAACTATTTGCATATAGTCTTTTTCATATGCAACCAGAGGTTGCAAACTAGCGAGCCAAAGCCAGCCCATAGATATGTTTCATTTGGCCTAATGCTTCTAAAGTTAGTTGTCCACATTTAAAAATTGGGAGATGGGGATGGGAAAAAAATAAAATTTGGGAGAGTTCACATGAAACTTGGATTTGTGGCTTCTTGCCAAGTAGTGTGGCAATACTGGATGTGTATTCCTTCACAGCAACAGCTTATGCAGTTGGAGCAGTAGTTTTCCAATGTCTACAGCACCTGCTTCCCTCAGCACTCAGGTGGTTCAGTTTGCAGTGCCTAGACTTCTGTCTAATATGGTAGCCACTAGCCACATGTGGCAATTTGAACATAAATTAATTCATATTTAATTATAAATAAATTCAGAGGCACCTAAGTGGCTCTGTTGGTTCAGCTCAGGTCATGATTTCATGGTTCGTAGGTTCAAGCCCCGTGTCAGGCTCTGTGCTGATAGCTCAGAGCCTGGAGCCTGCTTCAGATTCCGTGTTTCCCTCTCTCTCTGTTCCTCTCCGGCTCATGCTCTGTTTCTCTCTCAAAAATAAACATTAAAAAGAAATTTAAAGAATAATAATAATTAAATGAATTTAAAACCTCAATACCTCAACCACATTTCAAGTGTTCAGTAGCCATGTGTGACTAGCGGCTACCATGCTGGACAATACAGAGTAGAACTTCGCCATCATTGCAGAATGTTCTGTTGGACAGTGCTGACCTAGTCAGTCTCCCTAGTTGGAAGAGAATGTTTTCCCTGTTCTTTGAGTAAGATAAGTTACTAGCAGTAATGTGGAGGCTCATCACTACTGTTTTTATGGGAAAATATGCCAAGATCTAACACTGGACATGGGCTTGTGGACCACTCACAACTCTAGCTGTTAAGTCTGAGTTCCCCTCTCTTCTGCACATTTGGAACTTACTAAAGTTTTTTGTTTTTCTAATTTCAAACTTTTACATTGATATGTCATCACCATCTAATATTCAGACTTCAAGTCTTACCAATTGCCCCAATAATGTCCTTAATAACAAAAGGATCCAGTTTGGAATCATATGTTGCATCCAATTGTCTTGTGTCTAGTTTTCTTTCTGGAGCAGTTCTTCAGTCTTTCCTTGACTTTTACCATCTTGATACAAGTGAGGATTACTTGGTGTGATATCCAGTTTTATATGTCACTCAGTTTTTATCTGGTTAGATTCAGTTTATTTTTTGCAGGAATCAGTGATGCAGGAATCAGCAGTCCTCACTGCTGCCTATAGCCATGTGTCTCCCTAGTGGGTATGCCAGCTTTCATTTAAGCTACAGTATGTACATTCTCCTCTTGTAATATGTTATCACCTTCCTCACCTTTTTTTGTTGTTGTTCATTTTGAAAGAGAGAGCGTGCACATGCACGTGGGGGAAGGGCAGAGAGAGAATTCCAGGCAGGCTGTTTGGCTCATGACCTGAGCCAAAGTCAGACACTTAACTGTCTGAGCCACCCAGATGTCCCTTTCACTGAACCTTTAATTGATTTGTTTATTTATATTAGTATGGATTCACGTATTATTTTATTCAATGAGTTACAAACCAATACTATCATTATGTATTTTGATGCTCAAATTGTCCCAGATTTGGCTAGTTGTTTTGTGTTCTTCTGACATGTTCCTATCATTCTCTGCACCTTTCTTTCTTTCTGGAACAAACAAAATGTCCCAGGCTTATCTTGTACTTTCCCAGCTCTGGAATCACCCATTCCTCCAAGAAACCCTGGTTCCTTTTATCTAAGAATGAAGCCCTCTTTGTGTGCTAACTAAAGAAATATATATTCCCTAAATATATACACACTGGCATCTGTATTTACATGGAAATCGGTATTTATTTAGATCATAAATACCTCAACACTGCTCAGTTCCTTCTGGTTTTTTCCTATTTGTAACTCCATTCTCTGCTAGCACTTATTACCTTCAATATACTTACTAGATGTCTTCCCCCCATATGTACGTAACCAATCTTCCATTGCCAGTACCACCTACCCAGGTACCCTTCTTTCACCCTTCTTAGAACCCAGTAACCCCCTCCTCACAAACCTATGATTGCCTCACTCCTTTCCTAAATATGTATGTATGTATGTTATTTATTTTATTTTTTTAATATTTTTATTTATTTCTAGGAGAGAGACAGCATGAGCAGGGGAGGGTCAGAGAGAGAGGGAGACACAGACTCTGAAATAGGCTCCAGGCTCTGAGCTGGCAGTCAGCACAGAGCCCGACGTGGGGCTCGAACCCACGAACCGCGAGATCATGACCTAAGCGAAAGTCGGATGCTTAACCGACTAAGCCACCCAGGCGCCCCTATGTATGTTATTTCTAAGTAGGCTCCATGCTCAGCGTGAAGCCCAATGTGGGGCTTAAACTCACAACCCTGAGATCAAGACCCAAGTTGAGATCAAGAGTCAGATGCTTAACTAAGCCATCCAGGCACCCCATAAATATGTATATTGTTAAAAAGCAACCTTGTTGGACACTGAGACCAAAAACTTTGACGTCAAAAGACGCTTTTAACTGTGATAATGGCATCAAGGTAAATTTCGTATCATTAAGAGATGCATACTTGCTAGGTGATGGGTACACGGGAGTTGGTTATTCTTCTACCTAGTCTTATGCTTGAAATTTTCAAATTAAAAAAAAAAAGGACAAGAGGCAGGTCTGCAGATCACTGGCCTTTATTAAGAGGAATCATTGCTAATCACATAGAAGCTACCTGCCTAGCTAAAATACATGAGGTTCACATAAACTTACAGTTACACAAATAAACAAATGGCACGGTCAAAACCATAAGGAAATAATCCCGATGCCCAGGTGATGAAGGCTGGGGTGAAGTCTGCACACTTATTTCAAGCTGTTAAAGAGTTTGTGGGCCACCTAGATGGGGGAAAGAAAAGGATGTCATCAACTGGCAGCTTTAATGTCATGGCTTACAAGGTCCTTCATGACCCAGAACAGTATTGCCTCTTGTCTCTCCACACCATTCCATACACCCACACATCTCTTGAGCCCTAGTGAACACCCTTCAGTTACCTGAATACTATTTCCCTTCTACCTGGAACTCTTTCCCACTTTTTTCATCCTTTATTTTTCCTTTAGAACTTAAGTGTACATGTCTTCTTGTAGGTCTTCTCTAGGTCTTCTCTAAACAAACTCCTATCCCCACACAAATCTGTCTCTGCTGTCTTCCCCACAGAAACTTATACCTCCCATATCACAGTGTTTATTAACTCAACAACTATTTACAAAATATCTGCTATACACCAGGTATTGTTCTAGGTGCTGAGTAAGCTACAGTGGTAAACCAGGTAATATCTCTGTCTCTTAAGGAACTTATAGCATGACAGAATTATAAAATACACATAAGGTTAACTTGACAGTGATGAATGCTCTGAGGAAAATAAAAGGGGGGGTGGGCTAGCATCTTTAAACAGGAGGATCAGTAAAGGCCATCCTAAGAAGGCTACACTCAAAGAGAGTTTGCTACTCTACTCGTCTTCTACTATGCTGGCTCAATTCAGTGAAGGAAGGGACCATGCCTATCTCATCCCCAGACCTGAACCTAGTGCTTGGCTCATGCAAGTATTTAAATAACATACAATTTACCATTTTAACTATTTTTTTAAAAAGTAAGCTCTATGACAAACATGGGGCTTGAAATCACAACCCCGAAATCAAGAGTTGCACACTCCACTGAATGAGGCAGCCAAGCACCCCCATTTTAACAATTTTTAACTCTACATTTCTGTGGCATTAATTTACTGTCTAGCAATTATCAATCTCCAGAATTTTTTTCAACTTCCCAAACTGACAACCACCATTCTACTTTCTATGAATTTGACTACCCTAGGTACCTCGTAAATGGAATAATACATTTGTCTTTTCGCGATAGGTTTATTTTACTTAGCAGGTCTTCAAGCTTCATACATGTTGTAGCATGTCAGCTTCTTTCCTTTTTAAGACAACAATATTTCATTGTATATATATACCACCATGGACATTTGGGTTGCATCCACCTTTTAGCTATTATGAGTGCTGCTATGAACGTGCATGTACTAATCTCTACTTAAGTCCCTGAGTAGTCTCAATTCTTTTGGGTATACAATCAGAAGTGGAATTGCTGGATCATATGGTAGAATTTAATTTTTTAAGTACATGATTTCTTTTTATTGCCAAATAATATCCCATCATACAGATATATTACATTTTATTATCCATATATCAATTGATGAATATTTATGTTGTTTCTACTTTCTGCCTATTATGAATAATGCTTCTATGAATATTTGTGTACAACCTTTATATACATGTTTTCATTTCTCTTGAGTATATAGGTACGAGGAGAATTACTGGGTCATGTTAACTAACTTTTTGAAGAACTGCCAGACCATTTATCTATAGGGCTATACCAATCTACATCCCCATTAGCAGTGTATGAGGTTTCCAATTGCTCCACATTTCACCAACACCGATCTATTTTTTTAATGATATGGAGAATTATAGGTGCATATTTTGTATATAAAATTTCCTTCTTTCCACTAAAGTTATGTAGAAAAAGGAATATAATGCCTCTATTCATATTTTATATGTAAATATATCTATGATTCCATTTTTATTTAAAAATCTGATAGTATATACAAAAACATGGTTATCTCTAGGCAGTAGAGATACTTTCCTTGATTGTCAATGTGTTTAATGGGGTACATGTGTGCATTTGTGTATCTCTACTGTATATGACAGAATTAAAACAAAACACTTATATATTGGGATTGTTGAAGCATAAATAAGCTTGGCTGAATGGAGATCATTAACTTTTTCAAGGGGGAAAATGTCATTTATTTTTCCCTTTTACTTTTTGACCCCCTTCACCCATTTCTTCCTATCTTTTTGATTATGGCTACCCTCGTAGGTGAGAACTAGTATCTCATTATAGTTTTGATCTGTATTACTCTGAGGGCTAAAGGTATTAAGCACCGCTTTATATACTTATTAACCAGTTTTAATATAACCAATCATATCAAACTTTTGCCTACTCTGTAATTTATTTCAAATACCTTATTCTTACATGTAAAAGAGTCAAATACAAATTTACCTAAAAAAAAAAAAAAAGAAGAAGAAGGGGCACCTAGGTGGGTCAGTCTGTTGAGTGTATCTGACTCTTGATTTCGGCTCAGATCATGATCTCATATCTCGCATTAAGTTCAGCATGGAGTGCAGTGCCTGCTTGGGATTCTTTGTCTCCCTCTCTCTCTGCCCCACCCCTTTCTCTCTCTCTCTCAAAATAAATAAGTAAACTTAAAAAAATAAAAATAAATAAAAAGAAAGAAAACTTTCTGGACCAACTGCTATGTATGACACATTGGAAGATATAAATTATTATTTTTTAAATGCTTAAATGCTTATTTAAAGCGCATGTGGACACGGGGACACACACACACACACGGAGGGGCAAAGAGAGAAGGGGACAGAGAATCTGAAATAGGCTCTGTGCCAACAGCAGGGCTCAAACTCACAAACCATGAGATCATGACCTGAGCCATGAAAAGTTGGGACACTTAACCAATTGAGCTACCAAGGTGCCCCAAGGATAAAAATTATTTCAAAGTAGCCTGTTACTTAAAGGTACAAAATCCAGCTTTCCCATTGGATTCCCAATACAAGTTGGGACATCATTCCTCTTCTTTGAGCCTCAGTTTCTTATCAATAAAATGTGGATAACAACCCCTTATCTCCAGTGAAAATAGTAGAATTAGGTAAGACTATTTACGTAAAGTGCTCAGAACTGGACTGCTCAGAACTGAACAGGCTTATATTGGACCAATAAGTAAATGCTTATTGATGGATCTGCCCTAGCATGGAATGGCTGTCAGCACCAAGTATGCCTGGCCACTATAAGTTTTCCCCTTCCTGACTTTAGGCTGACTTACACAATGGTCCCTTGCATGCAGGAAGTCAAAGAGCTCCTCTGTGCAATCCTCCTCTGTCTGTGACCTGGAGGATACACGCTCATCACAGAGCTCTAGCCGCTCCCGAGCCTTTACACATTTCTCCAGCTGCTCGCATTGCTCTCTCACTGTTGTTAGGGGATCCTGAAGGAGAAACACAGAAAAGAACCAAAATGGGGTTACAGGAGACCCACAAACCATCTGCTTTAATACAACCACCAAACCAAGGAGCTGCCTCTGAATTACCGTGCAGAAGGCCAGCTGGCAGAGCCACACTGCCGCCAGAAATGGCAGAATGGGGTCTCCCATTCAATTCTGATGCTAAGTAGTAGGGGAAAGTTTCACATTCCTGCCTTCCAAGGTTGCCAGTATGCACTGAAAGCCTCAGTCCTATCTGAAAAACAAGGTGGTAAAGGAAACCTAGCCAAACTTGAAGTAGATCTATAGGAGGCCTTACTTGTTAACTTTCTGGGAGATGTAATGTGTGTGAATATGAATTCTCCTCATCTGACAGCCAGGCCTATGCACCCCAGCTGTCCAGCTAGAAAGGCAATGTTAACATGGAGAAGGATTATATAAGAAAAGTTCCTTCCAGAATTCTTTATTAAACCACTAATAGCAGATAACTGAGCACCAGGTCCTCAAGATGCTGCCCTGCTCCCTGACACCATGACTAAAGAAGTCCCAAACCCAGAAAAGACTCAGCTTCCCAGCCTCCCCCGCTCAAGCCCAACACTCCACAGCACAGAAAGGAAGTATTAAAGGTCTTTTCTACTTCCATTTTTTCCAAGATGTCAAGTGAAGACTCCTTAAAATGCCCTTAAGAGTTTCACGAATCTCAAACTTCCTTTTACTGAGGTGGTCCCAAAACAAACCTGAGACGGTTCTTACCACTAATTCCTCCTCCTCCTCTTCCTCCTAAAAAAGGAAAACAAAATTAATGTCAGGAGCAATTTAGAAAATACATATTCCCGATCATACTGATGTTGTAATTACTGAGGATCAGCATTGTATTCTTTGTGGTTTTTTAATTTTTCTGTATTTTATGATACTTTGACATTTTAGGGCATTTGTTAATCCAGGAGAGAAATCCAGCCTGGCAGGGTTGACTAATTTCTAGAGCTAGGCAACAACTTGCCTGGGTACACATCTTTCATATGTAAACCAACCAGTCTAAAACCCTTATCACCAACCACCTCCTTTATCTAACTCTCCTTCACAACCCCTGTCCTAATCACCCTAGGGCCAAGTACCAAACAACTGGAGATTGCCTCTACAGCCCAGAACCCACAGAAATTATTCAAACTATCCAATCCTAAACTTCCCAGAGCTTGCCTATCCTGCCTCACCCGTTCTTTCCCTCAGAAACCAAGAGTCTGGTTTCCCTTGCTCTCTCAGCTGGTCCAGGCACTTTCCCGTGTGGCCCTGAGTGGTGTGGCCTTTGCCCCTTCTCTTGGAACCCATAAGTAATAAACACTTCTTTCAAAAACAGTTGTCTCCATGCTTGTAACCTTACCATACCCAATTAAAACAAACCCTGAGTACACTGCAACAAGGACACCAACAAGGACACGCTATCTCACTTTCATTAGTAATAACCTAAAATGTGCAGGACACTCTAAAATTTACAAAGTACTTATCTGTAATTTGGTTAATCACAACAGCCCCTTAAAGGGCTTTCAGTTTAGAAATAACAAACACTAATTAGACATTTTTTTTTAAGTGAGTTCTACACCCAGTGGGGCTTGAATTCACCACCCGAAGATGACAGAAAGTCACACGCTCTACAGACTGAGCCACTCAGGCACCCTTAATTAGACATTTTGTGATACAGATTCAAGCTGATGTTCACATGGAACATATATAACTTACAGTATTTGGTTTGAAATTCTGGTACGTCTTACTATTACCGGAAATAGCTTAATTTCGTCCTTACATACCAAATGAAATTAGGAGGAAAACTAACATTTTTTCTAGATACTGAACTTGAACTGGGAATATGAAAATGGGCAAACCTAAACTCTACTTTAGCCAGTGCTTTCCAATTACTGCATTTGGCTTGCCAAACCCTCAGGACTCTTAAGTAAACTATCAGTGTTAAATGCATCCAAAGTCTAGAGTAGTCCATTCACAAACTTGGAATCACACCCTATTTACTTCTGATTCAGAAGTAAACCTCAAATTTAGTGTTCTTTCTTCTAAGGAGAACAGTGTAAAAGATTCTCTATGGGAGCATCAGCATAGGCCTAAATCTCAGGCATAGCAGAGTCTGATCAGCATCCCAACCTGTCAAAAGTAAGGTGTCTGCCTTCCTGTGCATGTACATGTCCACATTTGGGGAAGGGAAAGAAAAGGTGTACTGGGGGGATGTTTTCATGTTTTCAAAATTTCCACACAATCTACTTCATTCTCATGAAAGCTGGGAGGGGTAAGGCAGATTCAACCCAGGCTTTTATTGTCACAATTAGCAAAGGTCTCTTCTAAACACAAAGATGAGTTTTAGGATGTCAAATTCCAGTTTTTCATTAAGGTTTCTTAACCTTGCTCTTAAACAAAATTCATTCTGAGAAAGTTTTTTTCAGGGGCACCTGGGTGACTCAGTCAGTTGAGTGTCCAACTCTTGGTTTCAGCTCAGGTCATGATCTCACTGTTCCTGGGCTTGAGCTTCATGATGGGCTCTGTGCTGACAGTACAGAGCCTGCTTGGGATTCTCTTTCTTCCTCTTTCTCTGCCCCTCCACAGCTCTCTCTCTCAAAACAAACTCAAACGAAAAATAAAAATAACCCCCCCCCCATTGAAATCCTAACCTGCCCAGAAACCTGAAATTTGCATCCTTGAATCAAAACCTTTGTATCATTTCCCTATCAGCAAGGCTACTATATTGATCATTTTGATAATTCTGTGTCAAAAGTATCGCAGCATGTTTCGGAAAAACAAATCCAAATACAAGTCTGAAAATGGACTACTTCATGTAAAATTTCCAGTCAATGACAAAAACCGAGGTCACACTAAATAAAAAGATTTAATGTCCAAAAGGTAGAGGTTCTTCATAAAAGACCTCAGTTTTCTTGATTTTAAAAAACTGACTACTTTCTTTTTCTCATCTGCTGCTGTGGTGAGCCCTACTGAACTTTCAGGTATACTTCTGCTGGACTTCCTGAGGCAAGCTCCATTTCATTCTGGTCCTCTTTCTGAAAATAAGAAGACTAGGAAATAACATAGGATCAACTAGTTTCCAACTACTCTGAACCCATAAATCCAGAACAGCTGCCCAGAAATGACTAGAAAACGAAGGATAGGAAATGTGATTGGAAACCAAAAGTCAGCTGGCTTCTCTAAAGCTGTGTGGCACTGCGGCTAAGTCTTGGCTCTGGAACCTTGTGGCTCAGGTTCAATTCCTCGCTCCATGATTTCTTAGGTGTGGTCCTTAGAAAAGATATATAACCTCTCCATGCTAGTTTCCACATCTGTAAAAGGACAACAGTAATAGTACCTAATACTCACCTCATAGGACTATGGTGTGGCTTAAATGAATTAGCACATATAAAGAGCTTGGAATAGTAAGCAGTCAATACATCATTATACTGGAATTCTTCCTCTGGGAAAGAGCTCCCCCTTCCATACTCACAGAATTATACTGCACATTCCTACCCTGTCCCCCAAAATACCTGCCACTCCCCCCCCCCCAAAGAAAAAGAAATCACTTCTTCACAGAAACTAGTATAAAGCCAGATCTCTGGAACCTCAGGAGAACATGTGGCAGGATCCCTGACCTGAGCGAAGGGAAGCACTAGGGTTGGTCCGCTTGCTCCCTGCACTTGTCAAGCCAGGATCTCAGAACACCTGATTGACTAAAAATACAGATCTTATTTTTACAAAAGCTCAGGCCACACAGCATTTGCGCTCTCCTTAAACTGTCACCGCATTCACAAAAGGGGTACACCAAGGCCCAGAGAAAAGCTAGTCCTCTACCTTCCCAAGATGAATCAACGAATTCTGGGGATGGGTCGAGGGAACCGGTAATGCAGACTGTGGAAACCCTAAGGACGAATCCAAGGCCAAACGGGGCCCCGCGTGTATTTTGGCGGGCTTGGTCTTAAACCTCAGGGCAGTGAAGAGGGCCGAGTCGGCCGCCTTGCCTTACCTCTTTGGGATCTCCGGACCCAGTCAGCATCTTTTGCTCGTCCTCCAGCCCCATGTTCCGCTACGGTTCCGAATTCAACACCAGCAACAACAGCGGCACCTATTCCACTTCAGGATCAAGAAGGACTTGTAAGGGTCACTCAGCGGATATCCGGCGATCTGGCCGGAAGTGCGGCAGACTCGTCGTGGTAGCGAACACACGCTCGGATTGGCATATACTACCGTCCACAGGCAGGGGACAGGGGGAGCTGGTATTCGTGCCTAAGGAGGATTTGCTAAGAAATATCCCCTTAACCGCGCCAGAGCCAAATACATTGATATACGAATTTATTTAAAATATTGGCTCCTAAGAGACTTGGGAAAAATGTGGATTTATTCGATGTTCCTTTAGAGCAGTTCTCAGTCTTCCCCACATCGCTGATGAAACCGTCCTAACTGCTGACCTTTTCAAGATGGCGGTCCACGGGTGCCACTCTCGGGCTCGCGCACCTCCCCAAGATGGCGGCGCCCGAGGCCTGGCGCGCCCGGAGTTGCTGGTTCTGTGAGGTAGCGGCGGCAACGACCATGGAGGCCACGTCCCGGGAGGCGGCGCCAGCGAAGAGCTCGGCCTCGGGCCCCAGCGCTCCCCCCGCCCTGTTCGAGCTGTGCGGGCGGGCGGTGAGCGCCCATATGGGGGTTCTGGAGAGCGGGGTGTGGGGTAAGTCGCGGGGTGAGGGGCTACCTCTGGCAACGAGCGGAGGCGGCCCAGCGGCCGGGGGGCGCGGGGGGCGAGGCCGGGAGGCCTGGGGCAAGGCCCAGCCCGCGTCACTGGAAGCCGCACCGTCGGGTCGGAACATGAATTCCGTGACTGAGCGGACTGGGCAGAGTAAAGGCAGGGACCAAATCGGCAGGTGGACCTGCACCGCGGCCTTGCTGGGGGGGCGCGGGGGGCGAGGCCAGGAGGCCCGGTCTGGGGCCGAGCAGGCAGGGCCGGGACGACAGGGGCTGGAGTGACGGGCCAGCTGTGGGCACCGAACTGACGCTCGAGCCGGGGCCGGGGTGGGGAGTCTCGGATGCCGAACCGACGGGCAGGGATGGCCCTGCCGCTTGGGGGCGGGGGCCGAGGTTGGGAGGCCCGGCCTAAGGCAAGGAGGCCAGGCCCCGGGCCACCTAACCTGACTGATGCGCGGGGCCTCCGGTGTCTGCTTGACAGACCCGGTGTGCCAATACACCGGAGGCTAGGCTGATGGGCTAGGGCAGCCCAGCGGATTGGAGAGCGAGGGGCTGGGGAAGAGGCCGAAGGCTTGCGGCGCCGCGGCCTGTCCGACGACCCAGGGCTGAGGGGAGCGCACTGACGACCCGGGCCTCGGGTGCCAAATTGCTTGAGCGCAGGGACTGACTGACGGGCAGGGCAGGGAACGCCGGAGGCCACTCGGATTGGCCTGAACGGAGGAAGGGCCCGAGCGGGTGAAGGGAGGCCGGAGCGGGTCAGCAATCTAGGGAGGCTCGAATGACCGACAGGCAGGAAGGGCCAGGGAGGCCCCAGGCGGGGCGACGGCCCAGGGATCCCGGCTGGGAGGGGGCGCGTCGCAGCTAGGAGGCCTTGGGCTGAGTCGGAGCCAAAAGAGGCACCGGGCCCGAAAGCAGCCGGGACCGACGGCCCGGCCCGGGCTGAGGGTGCCCAGGCTGAGCGGCAAAGGCGGGCGGCCCGCGGGCCTGGGCTGAGGGGCCGGGGAGGGCAAGCCGACGAGACAGGCTGGTGGGCCTGGGAGTAGGGCGGCCCAGCGCGGGCCAGGTAACGCAGGAGAGGAGGCCCGCAGCCGGATGCGCACGCGGAGGCCGGGCTCTGGGGTGGGCCCCGCCGGCCCCAGCCTGGCAGCCGGTGAGACAAACTCGGGTGGGCCTGATGAGCACTGATAGTGAGAGTGATAGAGAGCAGAGTGAGGGCTAGGCCCGGGCCGCACAGGGGATGAGGGAGGCCTTGGGCCTGACAGACTGGTGGTGTGAGGGGGTGGGGTCCAGAGGCCGGGGCTGAAGCTGGATGAGGCGATCCGGACCAGGCCTAGGGCCCAGGGAACTGGGAGGGAGTGGCAGGAGAGGAGGCCCCCCGGCCTTGAGGGGGTATGGGGGGTGGGGTTCTCGAGAAGGCCTCGGGAGTGGTGGTAGTGTCTTTGCCAGGAGGAAGGCCCTGGTAAGGTCAGAAGTGAAGGCTTGAGGTCCTGGGATTCCGGGTTTGGGCTGTACTTTGAGGAGGTGGCTGTGAAGAAAAGGGCCCTGGAGTTTGGTGGATTGGGCCTCCAGGCATAAGGCCCAAGGCTGTGGAGAGTGGTTAAAGAAGGCCCAGGGATGTGGGAAGGCCCTTGGTGAGGTGGGGGTGGGGCACCGATCCTGAAGAGGCCCAAGTGTCTTCCTGTAGTGGGGAAGACCCAGTCCTCAAGCTGGTCGGGGGAGGGGTTGTGGAGGCCCTGTGCCAACAGCTGAGAGGAGAAGGGTCAGGCTGACCCATGGGGAATAGGTGAAGTCTCAGTGGAGCTGGGCAGGGGGCTCAGAAAAGGCCTTGGGAATGTGGAAGAAGGCAGAGAGAGGATTGGCTGTATCAGCCTGGAGCTTCTAGAATGCTAAACTTGGCTAGGAGGGAAGAGGGCTGGGTGTAGAGGCCTCGAGTTGGGAAGAGGAAGCATTAAAGGTATAGGCTGGAAAGAAGCAAGGCCTGGCTTCTTAAGCCTGGCTTAAGAAAAATGGAGAAAGGAAGAGAGGAGTTTGTGGATAATAGGGGATGAGAATCTCCCTGGCTGTGAGAGGGGATGGCTAAACAGAGCAGATTGGAGGGACAGAGGAAGAAGAGCACCTATGGGCCTAGCCTAGGTAAACAGTCACACAGAAAAAGCTGAATCAGGTTAGGCCTCTTAGGAGGACCAAGTAAGAGGCCTGGGAAGAAGTGCTGCTTGGAGGAAGGTCTCAATAAGGGCCAACAGCCAAGAAAGGCTTCTTGGAGGCAGTGGACTAGCGTTCCTTTGTGTAGGGAGAGAGAAGGGTAAAGTGAGTAGAGGCAGCAGGAAGGGATACAGTGAGGAAACAAGTAGAATAGGTATGTTATGCCTTGAATGCCAGGATATGGAACTTGAATGCAATAGAGAACCTACATTAATGTAATAGCTTAGAGAATTAATATTTTCATTCAGCCAGTACATTGAGTACTATGTACAAAGAATTATCCTAGACTTGTGGTCGTCAGGATTCATTTATTCCACAAGTAAAGATAAAGGGAGATACTAGAAGTTTTGAAAGATTTTCCCTGGGATATGGTACACTCTAAGATCTTCAACTGTTCTTGGCAGGATGGAGATGGTATTGACAGGATAAGAATAATAATAGACAACGTTTAGTGAGCTTATTATGGCCAGACATGGTCTTAAAAAGATTACAGATGTGATCTTCTTTAATTTTTATAGCTATATTATGAGGTAGTTATTATTACTTATGTTTTAAAATTGAGAAAACTGAGTCTTTTTTTTTTTTTTAAAGATTTATTTCTTTTTCTATTTTTTTTTTTTTATTTATTTCTAGAGAGAGAGAGTGAGCAGGGGAGGGTCAGAGAGAGAGGGAGTCACAGACTGAAACAGGCTCCAGGCTCTGAGCTGGCAGTCAGCACAGAGCCCGACGCGGGGCTCGAACCCACGAACCATGAGATCATGACCTAAGCGAAAGTCAGACGCTTAACTGACTAAGCCACCCAGGCGCCCCTAGAAAACTGAGTCTTAAAGATGTTAATTTGCCCAAGGATTCATAACTAAGTAATAGAATCAGAATTTCATTCAGTTTTGCCCAACTCTAGAGACTAAACCATTTAACCACAATATTATAAAGCCTCTGAGATCTAGACATCAGCAAGAGCCAAGTTTTGTTCTTATGATATGTTGAATTTAGAGTTAGGGCCTAATTATTTCTTTTTTTTTTTTTTTTTATGTTTTTTTTTTTATTTATTTCTAGGAGAGAGAGAGACAGCGTGAGCAGGGGAGGGTCAGAGAGAGAGGGAGTCACAGACTGAAACAGGCTCCAGGCTCCGAGCTGGCAGTCAGCACAGAGCCCGACGCGGGGCTAGAACCCACGAACCGCGAGATCATGACCCAAGCGAAAGTCGGACGCTTAACCGACTAAGCCACCCAGGCGCCCCAGGGCCTAATTATTTCTATTGTTCATAGAAAAGTACTAGTTCAGAGTATAGTAGGGGCCAAAAGGATGGGAGTCACCAACCTGGAAGAGTGGGAAGGGAATTTAGCAAAAGCTTGAGAAAGGACACATAATACTTGGAAGATGAGGAGTTGATATGGTGAAAATGGCAAGGACATTCCTAGTAGAGAGCAGGATGACAAAGGCACAGAGACAGGAAACCGTGTAACATGTTAAGTAAATGAAAAAGTACTTTAGTATGGCCAAAGTATAGGAGGCAAAGCAGGGAGCTAGAGAAGTTACAGCCCAGATTATGTTGGGCATTTTTATCACATATATTCAGTAGGACTTTTTATCTATTTTTATCTTTTTTTGAAAGTTTATTTATTTGGGGCGCCTGGGTGGCTTAGTCAGTTAAGCTCCAACTTTTGCTTAGGTCATGATCTCACGGTTCGTGGGTTTGAGCCCCGCGTCGGGCTCTGTGCTGACTGCCAGCTCAGAGCCTGGAGCCTATTTCAGAGTCGGTGTCTCCCTGTCTCTCTGACCCTCCCCTGCTCACTCTGTCTCTCTCTCTCCTAGAAATAAATAAAAATATTAAAAAAAAAAAAAAAAGAAAAAAAACTTATTTAGAGAAAGTAAGAGTGGGGGAGAGGTGGAGAGAGAGAATCCCAAGCAAGCTCCACACTGTCAGTGCAGAGCCCAATGCAGGGCAGGGCTTGAACTCACAAACCTCCAGATCATGACCTGAACTGAAATCAAGAGTTGGACACTTAATCTACTGAACCACCCAGGCACCCTTTTGTGTCTTTTTTTTCTTTTTAAGTTTATTTATTTATTTTGAGAGAGAGTGAAAGAGAGCAGAGGAGGGGCAGAGAGAGAGAGAGAGAGAGAGAGAGAGAGAGAATCCCAAGCAGG